TTTTGGTTTTTTGAGACAAGGCCTCATCATGCAGTTCGGGCTGGCCTTGAAGTCATGTCAATCCTCCTGTCTCAGCTCCCCTCTGCTAGGATTACAGGCATATGCCATCGCAGTGGCTCAGCTCAGTGAATCCACACCCTTGGATCCACCCTAGGGTGGTTAGTCACCAGGCCGGTATAAAGGGGAGATGGGATAAGGCAGTCTTCTGTTCTTTGGAAGAGCTCCGGTCTTCACCATCAGGGCAGACTATTCAGTTTCTGCCTTGGATTTGGATCCTTCAACCTTCCGTGGTAGACCCCTAGGCTTCCTGATCTAGACTGCACGGATGCTGCAGTGAACTCCAGACCTTGGACTGAAACTTTTACCCTTCAGTGTGCAGACACCCTCCACATGCTTCCTCATTCAGCTCTGTGGTGACCACTGTAAGTCAACTGTGTAATTTCTTATACATTTTTATACCTTGTGTTACATGTTTCTATTTTTCTTTTAAATGTATTTTAGTGCAGGGTCTACTGGGTCTCACTACAGATTGGACTGTAGTGATCCTCCGGTTTTCAGCCTTCCAAGTGCAGAGATTATAGGTGTGCACTACCACGCCCAGTCTCAATTGACATCTCAGGGCCCCAGGGCAGGCCTGGCAGGGCATGCCAGCATGTTTCTCTACTGAACTTTGACCAATACAGATAATAATGAAAAAATCTGTCAAGTTGTATTTAAAACTTTGGGAAAAGCCAGGCACAGTGGCCTGTAATCTCACCACTCAGGACACTAAGGCAGGAAGATTGAAAATTCAAGTCCAGTTGCTGGGCATGATGGTACACACCTATAATCCCAGCAGTTCAGGAGGCTAAGGCAGGAGGATCATTATGAATTTGAGACCAACTTGGGCTACAAAGTGAGCTCAAGGCCAGCTGGAACCTGCATAGTTCGACCCCGTTTCAAACAAACAACAACAAAAATTCAACTCCAGCTTGGACTATGTATTGAGAACTAGTCTAAAAAACAAAGCAAAATAAGACCTATTCAGAAATCAGGACAGGTAAAATCTACCTCACTAATCTACTACTCAATATCCTCTGTGAAATTTTATTACTACTGGATGGCAATTCCTTTATTCATTCATTCATTCTTTCTTTCTTTCTTCTTTCTTTCTGTGTGGTGTGGGGGTGTGTGTGTGTGGCCAGCTCAGCAAACCAGGGGGCGGGGCTGGCATGTGGTGCTGGGGGATTGAACCGCAGTCCCTGTGCTTTGCTAAGCTTGTCCTAAGTAGGTGCTTTAGACCACTGAGCCATCTCACCAGCCCGGCAATTCCTTTATTCTATCAGCATATTATTCAAATAAGCACCAAATCCACCAGCTGCGTACAGCTGGTGCGCAGGCTAACTTCCTGCTAACTTCAACAGCCTAATACAACGCTTAGCTATTGAGCATTTTGGGCCCACTAGTGCTGTAATAGCCTTATCTGTACAGACATCTGCGTCTCCTAACCACTCTCTGAGGTACAGCTACTGCTGCAACCCTCACAGATGAAAAGCCTGAGTCACTGCTTTACTAACTAGCTTTCAGGTGCTCAGTATCAGAGCTGCAATTTGGGCCCAAGCAGTCTGATTCCAGAGTGAACTGTTTTTTTATTTATTTAAATTTATGTATATGGGGGCCAGGAGATGGCTCAGTGGAATAAGCGCTTCCCTACCAAGCAAAAGGGTCTGAGTTCAATCCCTGGTTCTGACAAAATAAATAAATAAATAAATAAATTTACATATTTCATACAGGGTCTCACCACGCAGCTCCGACTCTATATAGTGAGCCTGTCTCAGCCTCCCCAGCACTGGGATACAGGTGTGCTCCATCATGCCCGGTTTCGGTGGCTGGCCTGGTGCGTGGTACTGATATAGGGAGAAAATGATCTCGGTGGATGACCTCCAAATGATATAGGGGACAACTAATCTCCCAATCTGAAAGGTACCTGGGACGAGTTCGTGTTCTCTAAAACCAAAGAATGAATTTTAGGAACCAATGGAGGTTATGAGCAGAATATATTTATTGGGGTAAAGAAAGCTCCTGTCTGAGGGAGGGACAAGAGGGGGCCCCCCCAATGGGTAGTCCCTGGGAAGCTGTCTCTTCCAGGGACTTTTATAGAGTAAAACCATGCAAGTCTAAGATGGAGAATATGGGAACTTGCTTAGGTGGTCATGAGGAGGGACAAAACTATGGTCAACCAATGAGATTACAAGGACCATTGCTCAGGTAAAATTGACTAAGTCCAGGACAAATGAGGAAGCAAGTCATATAGCAAGCAGGCATGAATATAGAACAGGACTTTGTCCAGTAGCCAGCCGGCAGTAGTTGGCTTAGTGACTCTTCCTGGCTTGCTCAAGGTGGTGATCAGTCCCGGATGCTTGTCTTCAGGGAGGTCAGCGTTTGTTTGGTCTTTGGTCTCTAGGTCTGGCCCACAGCAGGAGCATCCGTCCTCTCACAGTTGTAAGGTATCTTGTCTTCTGTGTTATCTCCTTGAGGGCCTGGCCTGTCTGACTGCCTATAATATTTCTATCTAATTTAGCTGCCTGCAACAGAACCAGGGATCAAACCCTGGTCCTTGTGCTTGCCAGGCAGGGCTTAGACTGCTGAGCTATCTCCCTGGCCCCAGAGTGAATTCTCTTGATGATTACTAGATATGGTACCGGGAATCAAACTCCAGAACTTGTGTTTGCCAGGAAGGTGTTTATGCCTCTGAGCTGTCTCCCCAGCTCCACTACTATATATATTCTGAACCTTTCAAGGTTAAGAAATGATAGAGAGCCATGAGTCAGCAAGGCAGATGATTTGTTTTGGGGTATTTGGATTAGTAGAGTTTTGTCACGATGGATTAGGGTGATCGTTCAGAATTATGCAGAAGGCTTGGCTATACCTAGTTTTTCTGCAGGTCTCCTCTCCCACTTATCTTACTTGTTCATTGTGTGTGGGGGCTTCTTTCTTCGTTTATTCATGCAGGCTACAAATAATTATATGCCTAGTGTATATTAGGCTTCTAGTGTATGTGCAGGAAATGAGAAAATTAAGTCTTTTATTATTCATGACATGTACTGCCCTCGGTTTCATCCTCCTGTTCATCATTTCATTCTGTTTATTTTTCCATCAGCACATACATTGCGTGCTGATATGAGGTGACCCTAAAGTAACTTTTTGAAAAAGTCTTGAACCAATTTTTTTTTTTTTTTTGCAGAACCGGGGATTGAAACCTCTGTCTTTCAGTATCGGTTAAAAACAGTGGCAGCATCTGGATTGTACTTCTCAGTAATTGGCTTTCAACAGCTTAAGGCAAGGTTTATTTTTACTTTAATTTGGGAGTGTTTCAAGTCCAACTTAGTTCTATCATTTACCTCCTGGCAGCTTGATAACCAGGGAGCAATAACTCCCTTATGTGTGGGCTCTTTAATGACTATGTAGTGCCCCCCGGGGAGCTATAGACTAAGGCCTCTTTCCAGATGCCATGTTTTAAGACTTTCAGCTGGAAAGATTTTCACTATGTGAAATTTATTTTGATTGCTTTAAGTCAGGATTTGGCCTTTCTTATTCAGAAATAACAAAAAATATCTTTTGGCTCTCTGCCTCCTGCACTTCTGGCTCTAAGCCATATAATCATCTAATTTGTAGTTTTTCAGGCAGACAGAGGTTAGAAATGGGCCAATATGGCCTCAAGACAGTGATAAACACAAAAAGTCTGTAACAGGAATTATGCAGAGGCTGTGAAATGTCTTGTATTTTTAAAGAGACCTCCCATTCAACAAAGCATAGCTGTCCCTTTCTTCACTTTGTCATTCTTTGCCCTGAGTTCTTTGAGAGCTGAGGGTCAAAGAGGCACCAGAAACTCTGGTGATGAGCCTAGAAGACTGCAGCAGTAGATCTTACTGTGTTTACAAACATTACATATTCTAGAGCAGAAGGGTTTTGCTGGAAAGCTTCACTGTTAGATAGGATTTGCATTTTTACTACTTTTCTTTGGTCTTTGAGGACAAACATGTATAGGATGCTTTTGTACATCAATAGAAAAGCAAAACAGAAAGCAGTGTGTGGTTCAGTCCTTTTACCTCAGGAAAATGCTTTAATTTTTTAAGGTTTGTCTTTGCTGTGGAACCTAGAGAATGTTTGAGCTGTTCTGACCTCCTACAGGACAGAAATAAAATTTTTGTGCTTTTCCATCTGTAATTTAAAATAAAAATGCTGAGGCTGGGAGGGTAATGTAGCAGGCAGGACACGTGCTTGGCATGCACGAGGACATGGGTCCCATCCCGGCAAAAACAAACCGAGAAACCCAAAAGAATGCTGTTATCAGGTTAAGTCTGGTCAAAAATAAGAATTGTAATTTAAATGACTTGGTCTAATTTTTTTAAAGAATATTTTTTTGCACGCTGTTCTTTTAGCTGCCTTGCTAGCGCAGGGAATGTGCTTAGTCGCTACTGAACAAGCCTACTGAAGTCATCTCTGGCGGGAGCTTCAGGGCTGGAAGGGATGGGCCCTTGACGCGAGCCGGCACCACTTGGCCATCACCTCACTGGGTGAGCCTCCCTTCTGCGTGCATCAGAAGGCTGGGAGGCCCAGTGCAAACAGCTGGCACCCAGCCTGGCACACTTCCCCCGTGGGCCGGGCTCTGGGCCGTCGGCGGTTTGATGCGAAGGCTGTTGTGAGCCGCCCCTTCCAGGCTGCTTTCGAGGGCTGCGGCTGGGTCAGGCGAGGTGACGTGGGCACGGGCGCTTGGGGAGAAGAGCCGCTGGCAGCTCAGCGCTGAGTCGCTAGGAGTGACGAGCAGCGAGGCCGAGCCCGCCGCCAGAGCCAACACCTGGCTGCGTCGCAGACAATGCCGCCAACCAGGCTCGAACTACAACTCCCGGAGTGCTCTGCGCCCGCAACCCGAGGCGGGCGGCCCAGCGTGCACCGCGCCGGCCGCCCCGACAGTGGCGCGCTCAGCTCAGCGGGCTCTGAGCCCTGCGAGGGACGTCCACGTTCTGTCACTCTTCCCCTAGTGTTCTTTATCCCAACTGCCTACGACTGGCCACACAAATGGAAAGTCGCCTCCCCACTTCAGCCCCGTAGAGTCGGCACCAGCCAATGAAGTGCGCTGGAGGGCACGTGACGGTAGCGGGGCGGCGCGCCGGCAGCTCCCAGATCTCTATGGTGGGCCCGGGCTCGCTAGAGGGCGTCTGGTCCACTGGAGGACTCCCTACATTCTTCCTCCATTACCTCACTGCCTCCGGTGGCTGCTGGGATACCGGAGGACTCGAGTCCCGGCGAGACTCAGTCCTCCAGCCGCCCGGGGAATACCTCCAGTTCTTCCCGGCCGCCGCCGTCGCTTCCTCCTGCGGCCGACGGTCCCCTGCGCCCCGCCCGGTCCGCGCCGCGCGTCTGGCCCGCCGGCGGGCCTGCTTCTCTCAGGAGCCCCCACCCAGGCGCATGGCTCCATGAAGCAGGAGGAGGAGGAGGCAGAGCGCGAGAGGTCCCGTCCGTCCCGGCCACGTCTGGGCCAGGAGAAAAGGTGGGAAACTCGGGGTGCGCCGCGCGCTCCTCCCTCGCCGCCGGGCCGGCTTCCCGGGGCCGCCGCCGCGCCGCCCGCC